AGACCAAGTTGTTAATGTAAATCTTTTATAGCTTTGGCTGAACTTCCTATTGGTCTTGCTAGCTGAGATCAGTTGACTGATCTCTCTTAATGACAGTTAGATTTGCATTTGTGGGCTGGGACACAGATCTGTTTGGAAATGATCTGTTTAATGCTTGATAGCTTTAAACACAGACTTTAAAAAATGGGCCACTTTATAAAAAGAAAGTCTTAGTCTCTAGAGTTTACTACCTTTCTTAGTTTGAACCAATCCAAGTTTTTAGCTCTCCAAAGGGCCTAGTAATTTGAGGTAGGGGAAACTAACATGAACTTCACATTTTCATCTCAATTTAAATTCTGAGATTTCTTGGTTCTCTTAAGCAAACATGTGTCGAGGATTATCATGAACAGGTTATGACTGGAGGAAAAGAGTGTGGACTCTTGGGCTTGAGTGACAATCCCTTCCCTCTGCCCCTAAGTCCAGAACTCAAAGCATTGTTGAATAGCACTAAAGTGAGCTGAGTCCAAGACAGATGGTCAATATAAGGCTTTTAAAGGAAGGGAAATAGTAAAAGAGTAGTCTCAGAGGCACTCTCATGCTAAATAACTGAGAAAATGAAGTCTTTCTGAAGCTAAGTGTAAATTATATCACCTTCTTTGGGAGCGAAAGCTGTTAAAAATAACAGAAGAAAACGACAGTGTAGGAAATAAAAGTTCAGGGACAAACCTTCAAGTGTGGTTTTCTAGTGCTTAATCCCATCTTGCTTCCCTCTCAGGATCCATTGTGCCTTCTCCCTCCCCTTCTCCAAGGTCTGTTTGAAAGGGATTTTGATGGAGAAGGGAGGCAACTTCAGACAGAGCATAATTTAGGGCATAAGATACCTTTTGTACAAGAATTATCTTAGTGATGCTTTCAAAAGCATATTTTTTAGCCTTATTAAGAAAATAATCAAAGGTATGATTTTAAAAAATCTTTGAGTTTTGACTGCTTACAGTAAAAAATAAGGTGTAGGTACCAACATAAGCAAAACTCATTTTTACTTCCCTGGTTTCTGCTTATAAGATTTACACGTATTCAAAATAAACCCATGAAAAACAGGAATAGTGTCCTGGGATTGACTAAATAGTCAGAGCAATTACCTCCAGGCTCCAAAACCCAACTGAGCTTGACTTTTGGAAATAAGTTTGGCTAAGACTTCTTCCTCATTCTGTTTTATAAAAGTATACATGAAATGATACTGACCTCTGCCAGAAACCTCAGGAATCCTATTCAGTGATGTACTTGTAATGGTCATGAAAGAATTAAAACAACACAGATGTGGATTAAGGTGAAAAAGAAGGCAAAACACTAAATTCTCATTGTGTGGTTTCAATGTGGCAGATCCTTTAAAATACTTTGGCATACCACAGTAATTAAAGGGTTTAAGAACACTGAGTTAAGATACCTAAAAAATAAAAGCCCACAATTGAATAACAAAAATGAACTTTGTTTTATTTTTTTATTGGAGTTCGTGTAGGTTGCCATGGGGAAAATATTTTGAAATACTTAACAGTAACGGTTTTGTGCAGCTCCACAGATCAAAAACAGCAATGTAAATAAGCAAGACTCTTAAAGACTCATGCTCACAGACATGTTTAATGTAAATGATTGCTAGAAGGGAAGTGTATTTTCTGTGCAATGCAAGGAAATTTTAATTGGCTTGATTTTGGCAGTGAGAATTGTACAGCTTGGCATTAATAACTCAAATTTTAAAATATTTGCTCATTGCTCTGGATTTTGACTATGTTCAAGAAGTACTATTTTCAAACACTAATCATTTTAGATAAACTTTTTTAACACATTTATCACATCAATGAGTATGACTGTTTATTACATTTTACCTATAAAAGCTGAACTGTTTTATATACTTTTTATGAAAACAGTGCACAGTCATAAATTAAAAGATGCAACTGTTTTGGATATTTTACTGGTGGTCTTGTGTTTTCCTGCCAGCGGTGCAGCTGTTTCAGGTTTCTCAGGATAACATATAAAAAATTGTATGCACACTACAAGTTTATGCTTGAATTGCCAAGCCCCAGAGATGGTATGACTCAACTTTCCCAGAAACAAGCTGTACCAAAATGTGATGAATCAAAACAGTTAGTTGCACAGTGGTTTGTATTATAGCAGTGAAAACCAATTATCATTTATGATAGTTGACTTCTTCAGGTTGACAAACATTCTACTGTGATGCTTGAATTTTTCCATAAGTGAATATCCATTGAAGCTACAACTATGCTTTATTTTGAAGGTCTAAGGGAATGAAAGGATAACACAACATCATCTGGTGTATGAATACAAATTATCTGGAAATGTGTATCAATTCAATTCCAAGTTATCTGTAAAATTACTCTCTTATTGTCTGTATGATAGTTACTGAATTCCCCATGAAGCCGGGTTAATTTTTATACTTTCTGAAGTGACTTAACACTTACCTCATTTCTCATGCATCAGAACCTTAATGGTTAACATTTTATTATATTCCGGAAGGTAATAAGCAGAAAATTTTTGGCCATTTGGTAGGTGTGGTGAATCCCTGTTTAAATCCTGTAGGACCTAAGGTTCTATCAAGAGTTTGATAATGACTACTTAATAGTAGCCCCCAAAGTAGGATGTATCCCTGGAGGGCATGTAAGATGGGGAATATAGAGGAAAATATTAGAATTTTTATATAATTATTCTTATTACATCCTTTAAGTTTTCTATTTATATGTATTTTATAGTATACTTACTATATTTTCATCTTATGTGTATAGTTATATGTTATATAATTATAATAGGTATATTAATATTTTATCTTTATGTGAGGGGGGACCCAAAAAACCCAGAATTATCTTTTTAAAGGGCAGGCCCCTTGTGATACACTCAGAATTTTTTTCTCTGTATCAAAATGCTCAACCAAAGTTTGTATCTGGAAGCTCTGAGAAGGTTGCATCATGATTTGTGGAAGAAAGGTCCCAAGTTGGGGCAAACAGGTGACTGGTTCTTCCACTGTGACAATGCACCTGCCCACACTGCACTGAGTGTTCAGTAGTTTTTGACCAAAATGGCATGACCCCTGTGCCCTACCCTCGCTATTCACCCAAACTTGCCCGGGGTGACTTTTTTTTGTTTGTTTCTCTGATGAAAAAAGTCCTTATAAGAGAAATGTTTTGCCAATGTGAAAGAGATAAAACAAAAAACAACAGAAACACTAAAAGGCATCATAATTGATGAGTTCAAAAACTGTTTCGAACAGTGAAAAAAGTGCCTCAATAGATATATTGCATCAAACAGAGAGTACTTTGAAAGGTGACTGTAGTTTAAACATGTCAGAATAAATACATAAGTTTTAATAAATACATTCCAGGTTTTTTCATCCTTTAATTTATAAATAAGTATACAAATTTTGGAAATGCATGCTCAAATATGTTTTACTGCTATAAATATACTACAAGAAAGAGTTTTAGATTGTTGCTCAATATTCATTCTCTTCCTTCTTCCACTTTCCCCTTTCACTCTTGGCAGAGAAGCAAAGAATTGAGTTAACACCTTGATTTGTTGCAACGTGAATAAATTATAGCCAATTCCAAGAACTCAGCCTGTGTCTTACTTTGACCAATTTTTCTATTTGGACTCTTATGTTGCCATATATGTTTTAACTACACAAGCTTATAAAACATGGATACAAATGGAAAACAGACTTGTTATTATGTTAGAAGTAATAAGTTGCTCATGCATTAAGATGTTGACACACAGGAAGTTTGAATGAATGAGTAGAAAAGGTTCCAGGTTATTAAAATGTTCTGGTCCCTGATTTATTCATTTGCCATACCCATAATTCTAAGGTGGGTGAAGCTCCTTTACTTCCTGAGGCCCAAAGAAACAATGTAGTTTCTTAACGTAGACATTAAAGCAAGCTGGAAATAGTTTCCAGCAGTGCTGGTAGTCATGTTAACAACTTGCCTCTCTTTGGCTATGATTGTCCAATTTTTTTTTAGGCCTTTTTTGTGTGTTTTTGTCAAGGTAGAAAGTTTTAATTGATAAAAAGTCTGTGTATGATTGAAGAAAAGTTGTGTCTTACACTGTCCTTTGAGATCAACTCAAAAGACTTTTCTATATTTACCATATCAGACATAATTTTGAACTCAGGCTCAGTCTCAGATTTCTGAGACATGTACTTTTCTAAGGTTTTCTTTCCTGCATGGGAAGAGACAATATATTTTCAGAATACTGAAGTAATTTTGAAGAAAGTAGTATGTGTTCTCTCTTCCCTGATTTGTTAAGGTTTTTAGGACTTTGCTTTAAAACATACTTATGTAAAAATATTAGTAACCGTATTGTGATGTTGCATATATATTATATATGCCAGGAAGGAGGGTATATAGGTGCCCAAGCAGCAGCTAACAAATCAGCCCTGAAAATTGCACAACAGTGAACATTTATTATTATTATTTTGAGTTGGAGGTCTCACTCTTTCACCCAGGTTGGAGTGCAGTGTCACGATCAAGGCTCATCACAGCCTCGACCTCCTGGGCTCAGGCGATCCTTCCACCTCAGTCTCCCAAATAGCTGGGATTGCAGGTGCGGGCCACCACGCCCATCTAATTTTTTTTTCTTTTTTGTAGAGACAAGGACTCGCTGTGTTGATTAGGCTGGTCTCGAATTCCTAGGCTCAAGCGATCCTCCTGTCTCAGACTCCCAAAGTGCTGGGATTACAGGTGTGAACCACTGTGTTGGGCCAGAACTATTATTTTTGAAACATCTTTCAGAATTGTTTTTAGACCTTACTGTAACTGTTTTGTAATTTGGTACAAATATAAGCACTCTGTTTACAGTTGGTATGTTTCCTTTTGAAAGGTAATAATTCATTCATTTATAAAAGTCTGAGCAATGTCAAAATTTCTCTTTAAAATTTGAATCCACTGTACTATTGTTTTGAAAAATGTTACCAATTTATATGTGCTTTCTATATCAATGTTACACTTTTTGTTTTGTTTTAGGTATTTAAGCCATGTCAGAGCTGCCTCTCCACAGGACCTGGCTGGAGGCTATACTTCTTCTCTGGCTTGTCACAGAGCACTGCAGGACGCATTCAGTGGGCTTTTTTGGCAGCCCAGTTAACCTTTATTTCTCTGTTTATAAGATTTGGACCTTGGAGCTGAACCAGGGAGCTAGCAAAAGTAAAGCAGACTTGTAAAATTATAGCCATATGCAGCTGCACAGTACCAGCATTGCTAGTGGTGGTAAAATATTTATAAAGAGAAAATTTCAGAGCTAAGTTGAGTAATATAGGGGATGCATGTTTGTGGAAAAGATTTTTTACTTATTTTTTTCCTGAGAAACATTAACACAATAAGCCTCATTTGATGGAAGAGAGGAAAAAATAATTCACATATATGTTTGAGGTTGACAGACTTGTAAAATCTTTTTAAAAATAAAGCCAAACTTTATATTAAGTTTTGTGGTTTTTCTCTTATTACAGTGTTTTACTTGAGCGTATTTTAAAATGCCATTTTGATTACAACATTTAGTGTTAATATCCAAGTCTATTATTTCTTCTCATAAAATGTTACCTTTTTTCCTAATGTCTTCTTAATACTAGTCCAGACAAGTGGATATATTTCCTTTGACCAGCAGGTTATGGCAAGAAAAACCTGACCTGTGATAATGTCATTCCCTCAATACTAAGAACTGTTTTAAACAGTGGAAAGTGAAGCAAATCTTGATCCAAGGTATTATAGTTCCCAGCTGTGAGCCACACTTGGGATAAAACAGAGCACAGCATTAACCTCCTTTAATGACAAATTCAAAGAAGTAAGTTAATAAAATTTAATACTTAAATGACACCTTTCACCTCCAATGTGAGCTCATTTTATGATGAATCCTTGAGACTGTTACAGGTACATTTTAAGTAAAATTTCCCTATGTGTAAATTGTAGACTCTGGTGTATGTAGTTTTTCTGTTGAAACTTCAAAGGCTTTTATTATAACCATGGTTTTGGTTAAAGAGTTTGGATGTGGATAAGATGATATTTGTATCATCATCACCTTGTATGAATCTGTTACACAGACCACTGTATATGGGACATAGTTTCTTAAGGAAATTAAGGGATTTCCTATCAGATCTCCATTACAACAGATGTTAGTTTTATGAGTAAAAAGTTATGTGGAACAAGACTTGTGGTTACCTTAGGGTGAAATGTCTGTATGTAACAACTCCATCTTATTAATACCTTACTAAGCAGGTATTAATATCAGGAATATATTTTCATCTTTAATGTACTTCTAGCTATCTTTGATAAATGAGAAAACTAAGGCATAATTGAGTAGGCAAAATCATAAATACCAGTTAGTAAAAAGTCAGAAGTAGAATATAGGTTTCTTTTTTTAAAAATTGAAGTCCAGTAATATCCACAACTCTACCAGGCTGCATATCTTATTCCTCTGTCTTTCAGGTATTCCCCAAGTGAGGATTAGTGTTTGTGACTACAATCTAGAAATATGTTCAAAGAATAAGGAGAACATTGAATTTATGGTTAAGGTTTTGCAGCACCCGACTACACAAATCAGGCATCCAGTCTTTTAAAAAGAAACACTATTTCTTGTTCTCAGCACCTTGTATAATATATTTAAAGAGAATGAGATAATTAATAAAAACATTTCAAAGGCTTTTGAGACTTGTTTTGAGCCCACCTTACTGTGGAAATTGCCTGCACCTGGTATGGCAAATAAATTCCAAACCCTTTATACATTTGTAAATATTTTGCACTAGCTATTTGTACTTTGCTCAGTAGGCCAAATTTGGGAGTTATTAACTGACCTTATTAGATCAAACGGAATGGTGAAATATAACCTAATGACAGCAATTCACTGAATTTTAGTGAATTCACTGAATTTACTAAATGATAGAAATATTCTAAATTCCTGGGGGTTATCCCTACCCTCCCAGTGATTTCTCCTCAGAGACAAAGGTTGTACAAGTCTTTTATCCACATTAATCGAGTCTTTTAACATTTTACAACACTAGTACAGAAATAATAGTTACAACTACTATATTACCTATGTACCAGGCACTGGGCTTCATGCTCTCCTTGCATATTATCTAATCCTTACAACAGTGCTAGTATTATTTTTCCCGTTTTAACAGATGGGGACACTGAGACAGAGCGGTTAAGCAACTTGCCAAAGGTCACTCAACTTAAAAATAGCAGAGCTGGGATTTAAACTCAAGCAGTCAGACTCCAGGGTTTGTACTCTAGAGATGACTGCTCAACTGTCAAACAACAGCTGTGCTAAAACTGAGTCTGGGTAGTCAAACTTCCTAAGACTTCCAGGAAGTTTTATAAATCAAATATCTAGATCTTTTATGAGATATAAATGATATCAACTAAATGATCTTGTTGATACCCTGAGAGGAGTTCTGAGAAATTAATTATGTAGAAAATTCACTAGTAACTATACTTCCTTTTAAGCAGATTTTAATGGCATGGAGTACATTTATATCATAATTAGGATGCATTATTACTTAGTATTCCTTAATTTAATAAATATTTAATCTAAACTTCTCTTAGAAGTAATCATTAGGCTGTCAACAGGTATCAGATAATCATTTAAAAATCCAATTAAGCCGGCTCGGTGGCTCAGCCTATAATCCTGTGCTTTGGGAGGTCGAGGTGAGTGGATTTCCTGAGCCCGCAGGTTAGAGACCCGCCTGGGCAACTTGGCGAGACCTCATCTCTACAATAAATCAACAAATTAGCTGTGCGTGGTAGCACGTGCCTGTAGTTCCAGCTACTTGGAAGGCTGAGGTGGAAGGATCGCGGGAGCCCAGCAGGTCGAGGTTGCGGTGGCCAGGAACGGCCACTGCACTTCAGTCTGGGCAACAGAGTGAGACTCCAACTCAAAAAAAAAAAAATCCAATTAAGATAGCAGAAAACTCGTCCAAAAGTTAACAAAATTGAAACTTGTTTCTGATGTGCTTTCCAGCTGTCATTTTTTAGTGGACTCATCAAGAATTAATTTAGTAGGTATCACATCTAACAGTTTAGAGTGGGTTTCGATTTATATAATGAAATAATAACATGTTCATTTACCCCCCTCATCCACTCTGAAGGAAAGAGGGGGAGGAGATAAAATATTAACAGAAGTACTTAAGGATTATTTTCTTTATAATTATATATTGCATATTTTGGCTAAGAGGGGACTAAATGGAGGCAAGAGTCTTATCACCTTACATGTATGGATAAGAACATCATTTGTACACATCATAACCTAGCACATCAATGTACAGTACTTGGGTTGAGTTTCAAAACAATTTGAATTTAAATGCCTTTAAATAATGTCAGCTCCAATTTATTACTCTCCTACACTTCTTACTATTTATTGCCTTCATTTATTTACATTACTTGCCAGACTTTTGAAGACGTGAGTTTGTAATTAATCTAGATCGGGGTCCTTGAGCTTTTTCTATAGGTTCAGATAGTAAATATATTAGCCTTTATGGGCTAACAGGCAAAATCAAGGACAGTTAATGTAATTACTTATATAATGAGCTAAAACAATTTGCCACCGTTTTTGACAAAATTCAAAAATATAATTTTTTGTAATGCCTTGAAGGGAATAGCATTGCCTTTAGTTGGGGATCTAAGTGTTACCTACCTATCATCAACATCAATTGTACATGATCACTTGTTAATGCTTATCATTAACCATTAATATTAGTGGTAATGAGATTTTACACATTTCATCTCTTAAAATATCTTCTCACACAGAGATATTGCCAGATCCTTTTATCCATCCAGAATCATATAATAACTGAGCATACTCATCACTTGGAAAGCATTTTTAAGTTTCTATTAGATTCCTCTCCTGATATTTGCCTTTTAGCATGTCGTTACATAGCACGTTAATCACGTCCAACTGAAGATTAGTTGGAATCTCAATTCCAGTTAAAGAGATTTTGAAATGGGGAAATTTCCTTTGTACTTTCATTAAAGTCCCAAAAATGCTGAACTCAGAAAATACAGTCACTGCTAATCTGTGAGAATGGAAATCTGGTTTCATAATTTTTTTTCTTGTTTTAATTTTTGATAACATGAGACATAAAGATACTGTGATTCGTGTCAATTGTTGAAATGACTTTACCACAGTATGTTTCACAATCTTATGTTGTTCTTTAAGAAATATTATCAAGTCTTCAGCAAAAACTAATTTCCATAGCCATTTAGCATTCCAGAATAGGGCTTAAAGGTAGTTCTTGCTAAGAAAAAATTCAGTATTGGCCCCAAAGCTGAAAAACTTACAAACTTTACTGTTGCTAAGCATATCAAACTAAAATCAGAATATTTAGCTTCAATTTCTGACAAAAATTCAAGGAATTGAGGACAGTTAGTCATAAAAAAAATGAAGTCTGACACTGCTCATTCAGTAACACAATATATCCACATATTTTGATACATAATATAGTGAGTTACCATAGGCTTTAAACTCCTTACATTTTCATAAATCTTTGTAAAAATGCCAGACTAACCCTTTTTCTGCCACACACACTTGTTACCACTATCAGTTATAACACATCTTAGCAGATCCACTTTAGGTCGTATAGAATTAAACTTTGAAAATACTCATCCATAGTTGTCCATGTAGAGTATTCACAAAACCTAATTATTCAGTCACTTTAAACTCATCATTAAGCTTCAAACAAAAACTGAGTTTATTAGCAACATCTGTCAATTCATTAGAGTCAAAAATAAGCTGGGCACAGTTGCTTTTGTCTATAATCCCTGCACTTTGGGAGGCTAAGGTGGGAGGATCGCTTGAGGACAGGAGTTGGTAGACCAACCTGAGCAACCACAACAGTACTGCCATCTCTAGAAAAAATAAAAAATTAACTTGTGTGGTGCACATCTGTAGTCCTAACTACTCGGAGGCTGAAGCAGGATCACTCAAGCCCAGGAGTTCCAGGCTGCAGTGAGCTATAATTGTACTACTGTGCTCCAGTCTGGGTGACAGAGGAAGACCTTGTCTTAAAAAAAAAAAAAAAAAAAAACAAAGCTCAAAGAACCACTCAGAATTATTTGCCTTTTTAATTGACTATTGATGTTGTTATCAATGTCCTTAACTCTTTGAGCAATTGTTCTTGCCAGTAAGAATTAAACAAGTTTATTTTCTCTGGGTACATTTCTTCAGTTGTTGCATTCAAACACAGTTAACTTGCTATCAGAAATGGCTTTCTTTGCTCAGTTAACAAATTACTCACTTGAAGACTTACTTTGGTTGCAGCCTCAACTTTATTTTGTGGAGAAATTCTGCTTTAGTGAGATATGTCCATTTTAAATTTACTAATTTTTCTTACAGTTGCTTGCCTGTGAATTGGAAACACTGTGATGGTTTGTCTGGTAATGTCAATGTTTATTTTATTCTTTAGTTCGAGATGTTTGTCTTGTAAATACCAAAGTAATTCATACTTTGAAAGCACAACATCTGAAGTCCACTTTTCTTCTTTTCACATGATACGTATGCACTGTTAATTAAAGAAAGTAAAATGCTGTAGATTGGTGGTATACATGGGACACAAAATGGGGTTGAGCCACAATATGTCACTGTGACTTGCAGCGTGGCAAGCAGCAATACGAAGTGATGAGAGTCACATCCAGTCGGTATTGCAACCACTCAACTCTACTTGTATCAAAAAAGCAGCAGCAGAAAATGTGTAAACAAATCAGCATGATATGTTCCAATAAAACTTTTATGAACCCTGAAACTCAAATTTCACACGATTATTTTTTAAATCTTTAAAATTGATACATAATAAATGTCATATAATTTTCACAAGTCATAAACTGTTATCCTTTTGATTATTTTCAGCCATTTGAAAATGTAAGAACATTACATTTTGGGTCACGGGCCATACAAAAACAGGTGGCAGGCCAGATTTGGCCTACAGGATGTAGTTTGCCTACACTTGATCTAAATAATCTCATTTTTTATTACTTTTATATTGGTAGTAGAGGAGTAGTTATGTAAAATTTAACTACACTCTCAACTAAGGGTACAAAGTGGTATTAGCGCCTTCCTAGTTAGACATCACATAATTATCCTACCTTCAAAAACTATTTTCCAAAGAGAGATAATACTTAAGCATATTTATCTAATAAAAATTAGATATAATTTATATTATAAAATTATAATTATATATTATCATTTAGACAATAGAGAATATACTTAGTAGACTTATTTCAATTAAAGTTGAATTTGGTAATCCTCAAATTTATAAGATAGCATGGCAAAGTATAAAGGTTCAATAGTAAAGTTACTGAATGCTAAAATTTTATTAAATCATACAAATTAAATTTCACTACACATGAGTCTGGTAGAAAGATGGAAGAAACATTTCCAATCAGGTCTTTGAAGCAATTTGTGTTTTTTCTTCCAAAAAGGCTTCATCCGTCCTCTGTCGTTTAAGAGGTGGAACTTCGTGATTCTCTGTAAAAAAATCCAGAAAGCTTATTTTAGGTAAGACATTTAACAATTGGGTATATTTTTAAAAGACAAACAATATAGGCATTTTGGGTTTTTTTAATCTAGTCAATTTAGACATGAAATAACATTTCTTTAGATTTATTATTTTAAAGATAGCCTTTTATTAGACTAAACCGTGTATTGTTTAAAATTTGTAAAACTGGGAGAGACTAAGTCACACCTGAATGGCATGTGGTCTTGAACCTAAATTACTTGAACCTAAATAACTAACTAGAATTAATTTCATCTCCTTATTTCCAAATTTAATAATGTAAAACATGTATGTGTTGCCCAAAGAAAGCTACATAAAAAGTATCATGGTTTACATGTAATTCCCCACAAATTACTCACCTAGATGTATGGTGTGGTTCTTGTAGAGTATGGCAGCAGGAATCTGAAAGGTGATGCACAGCATTTCCTTGTTAGGGGCTACATTTCTTACTAGGTGAACTGAACTGCAAGCCTCCAAAGAAATGCCCAACGCAGCTCCGGCTCGTAGCCGGACATCCTCAGCAGGATTAGCATCTTTGGAAAAGCTGTAACAGTGCACGATGGGAAGGCGTTCACTGCTGCATGGCTGCCCATCTAAAAGTGACTTGAAAGCACTAAGAAACTCTATAGCCCTTGCTGGCAAGTTCATGATAATGTGCACAAAGTGTTTTCTTTCTTTTGACAGTCCCAGCTGCTGCATTAACTCTTCTTTGACTGGTCCTTGAAGGAAGTCTTTCCCATCCAAGTTGAAGACTTTCACCTTTTGGTCCACTTTATTTAATTTACAATTGTGCAACAGCCACTTATGGGATTCCGGATTAAGATCATTGGCAAATACAGTGCAGTTTTTCTTTGCTACTGGAATGGCAAAGGGCCCAACCCCAGCAAAAACATCAAATAGGACATCCCCAGGTTTCAGAAGTTCTGTGATTCGGCTGTGTTCTGTAGAGAGACGAGGATTCCAATAGACTTTTGAAAAGTCAAATTCATAGGTGTAGTTATTTTCTCGAACCTGAAAAAGTTATTATGCTTTTGGTTAATCTGCTTGGTCCTAAATTCCAGCCACTGATTTGGGTAGGCATGTGTACACACGTGTGAGCACACACATTTAAATCTACTACTAGAAGAGGCAAAATAATAGTGCAGTTACAATTATTTTAATTAGATTTTTGATGTTTCTATTATTCCTAGGGCCAGTTAATATCTTGCATTAGACTTTTTCATGAGATAAGACATCTTTTCAAAGCCAAATTGCCCTCCATCTCAATTCTATAAGGGCCATAAAGTAGTTTCCAAATTACATAAGGAATTTTTCAGGTAGACCAATTAACTGACTTAGTTATGCTCTCTTGTGTTACCAGATGAGAAGAAATGGCCTATAATTTGAAACAACACATGATTCCTACCTTCATGGTGGATAGCTAAGTGTAAATAGTACTTCCAAACAGCAAACAAGCTTTCCTCCTTATTCAGTTTTCAGTTTTTAAAAGAAAGGCATGATGGATGTGTCATTGAATACTGACATATTTTACTATATTTTTAGATAGTTTCTTAGACTTGTAAATTTCATATCTATAAGTTGGAGCTCATGTATAGAATGAATCTTTTTCATATTTCCTTTCCCAAATTTGAGTTTTCACAGGCAAACTAAATTTATACAGTAAAGCTAAGTCTTGAATAAAATAAAGAATTTATAACATTTCTTTTCAGTCTGTCAAAAACATGTTAAGAAACAGAAAATAAAACAAAAATTACAGTTATGGAATATGACCTCAGCCATCATCTTAAGCCTTCTAATTTATGGATGAAGAAGAAAGGCCAGAAAATTCCTAAGTTCTAAAAATCTGACAGAGATATAGCTTCCACTTTCTGCTTTCCTGGACCTAAACTCCTAATTTGTACATATTCTTTTCCCTTCTCACCCACATCAGATACTTCTGGCTATATAAAGTTGCAGAGTTGGAAATGTTTCTGCAAGTTTCTGCCAACCAAAAGTCTTTCCAGGTATAACCTTGAAGGTTTAAATATGTCTTGGGAGCTATTTTATACATACTGTTCTATAACTTGTTTTTGCCACTTAACCTGTCAATGAATAATTTACTTTAATAAATATAGAACTAAAAAAATATTTAACAGTGGAGTATTCCATTGTATTGTTATACCAGAATTTATACCAGTTCTGAAAAGGTTTTCTCTGCCAATATCATCCTATCAAAAATACTCACATTCTCACATACTCATCAAAACTAGGTATTATATTTTTAATCTTTGTCATCTATTCTGATTCTTAACATTAATCTTCATATACAGCTTACTTAGAGATAATAAATAAAATATACCTTTGTCATCATGTTCTCCTCTCCAGATAACACTTCCATTTGGAAATTTCGATATGTATTGTCAATATTATTGATTTTATTTACCGCTGAGGTGATTCCTGGATTTTTGTCAATCATAACTTGGCCTAAAAGAAAAGATGAAAACTCATAATAAATAGTGCCTATTGGTGCAAAATAAAAGCTAAAGTTGCAAATATTAAACAAATGAACTGTATTTTCTTTTAGTTTATAGATTAAAAGCAGTACCTAGTGTGTGTAATGTGGCATGCAATTCTAAAAATTCAACAGATTACTTAGTCTGACAGTCTCCAATATACACAGAAGAAATGTATGGGTATGATAAAGAAAACATTTTGAGGAGTTTGAGCTATCTAATATTTTTCCCTGTTTTTAGTAAATCTTCTCAAATCTGCCAATACAAATAAGTAAAAAGGTGGACCATAGGGACTTGGGAAAGAATGGAAAGAAAAGATGTAAGGATCCTGGCAACAAATGGTATCAGAAAACAGCAAACATCTGCCTGTTCCCACTTGCCTCACACCAAATGTTTGTTTTACTTTGGGTCTGGAACAGATGCCTTCACTTTGGAAATCTATGCCAGCAAAACGATGTTTCCAAATAAAGGAAACAGATTCGTTAGAGTCTTATCTATAATAAATCAAATGTTCGTTTATTTCATAACAGAAAAGCTACAAAGATAATAAAAATATATCAAAAATGGCATATTGGTACTCTTATACAGTCTATTTTTTGTTAGCAATTTTGTTAGTTTTTTATAAAAATCTCTGTGCTATTTCATTGCATTAGGAAAGAACTTGAAGTTAGTAAAAAGTACCCAATTATGCAAATATGCTGAAATACAACCAGAATTTATCTAATTTCTTGTAACTAGATACCTGGTTTTGAATATAATAACAATAAACTAATCAATCATTGTTCTTATCCTGTTTTGCTTCACAGATCTGAAGTCAACTTTTAAGGTATAGAAGTCAGTTTGAAAGGAGAAATTATGCAAATCAAAACCACATTAAGATACCACCTAATTCCAGCAAGGATGGTCATCATTAATACAAAAAACAACAGATGCTGGTGCAGGTGCAGAGAAAAGGGGATACTTCTACACTGTTGGTGGGAATAAAAACTAGTCCAATCTCTGTGGAAAGCAGCGTGACAATTTCTAAAGGAACTAAAAAATTGTCTTTCCATATGATCTAGCAATCCCCCTTCTGGGAATATACCCAGAGGAAGATAAATCATCCTACAAATTAGATACTAGCACACACGTTTATTTCCACACTATTCACAACAGCAAAAACACAGAACCAACTCTACTGCCCATTGAATGTGGACTAGATAAAAAAAATGTGGTATATTTACACAATGGAATATTATGCAGTCATAAAAAAGGACAAAAATCATGGACTTAGCAGCAAATTAGATGGAGTTGGAAACAATCATATCACAGAATCTATCACAGAAACAAAGAACCAAATACCACATGTTCTCATGTGGAACCTGGACATTAATCACAATAGCACAAGGGAGAGATAGACAGTCGCAGGACACTGCCAAAAGCGGGTGGGGGTAGCACATAACACAAAAGATACCTGGTCCTAAACCAGAGGAAGTGAGGACCAGTTGTAGGCCCAAACTTCACCTGACATAGATTACTTATGTACTTAATCCTGACTTGTACCCCACATCTCTATAATAAAAAAGTTATTTTAAAAAAAGGCATGGTGGCTCACGCCTGTAATCCCAGTACTTTGGGAGGTGGAAGTGAGAGGACAGTCTAAATTCAGGAGCTCGAGACCAGCCTGAGCAACATGGCGAGACCTCATTTCTACAATAAACAAAAAAATTAGCTGAGTATGGTGGCACACACCTATAGTTCCAGCTACTTGGAAAGCTGAAGCAGAAGGATTGCCTGAGCCTAGCAGGTCAAGGCTGCGGTGGCCGTGAGCATGCCATGGCACTCCAGCCTGGGTGACAGAGTGAGACTCTGATTAAAAAATAATAATAATAAAAATAAAGGAGAAATGAAATTTAAAGTTTTAGAAGGCTATTTTGAAGGTCTGCAGTAAAAGCTTTAAAAGTACTACTGTATGAAAATGTTTTACTTTTAAGCTATGAGTGCCCCTTTATGAAAGAGGTTATAAAATAGAACTGTCAAATGTTTGAGTTAGGGTGGGGAGTGACTCATAGGGAAGCCTAGACTGGCCCTGTCACAATTATAAGGCTCTACTAAAGCATTTATGTTACCACTATCCATCAGTCCCTTTCATCAATAAAAGGAAATGTATAACAGCAGTTTTAAAACTCCTACCCAAGCAAAATATTGAGCACTACATTTTAAAGCTAAAAATAGTTCCCAGATGTTTTGACAATTACTCTATATTTTAAAAATATATAGAGAGAATTTACACTAAAAAAAAGGATGGTGCCTGACATATAAGAGCCTTAATTCGCTGAATCAATGAAAACACAAGTAAATATCATGCACTTGTGACTAAAAAACACCCAAATCTATGAAACCTAGTTTCGAACATAGTCCTGAAGGCCTAATAAGTCTTGTGCACCAAAAAGAACTCTGTTCAATGTAGCTGTCAAAACATGTGATTCAAGTTTAATCTATACCTGTGTGCTGGTACACACAAAAGCCTGGACCAGTATTTAGAGGTTGCTATGACTCAAAAGAATATTCCAAAATGATCATCAAAAGTGGCTATGTAACTCAGGGCCCAGCTTAAAGTTACAATGATAAAATGTCCTGCTTCTGTAATTTGGTATTAAAAAAATTCTAAAAACTAAAATACGTGTATTTCTTTCTAGTACACAAATACTTTAACACACCTACCAATTAAATGCTTGAAAGGTAGCTGATGATCTCGAAGGTTCAGGTGTGCAATATGTCCAACTCTGCTAAACCCTGAAGTTACATCTTGACCTTCAGGAAGTACAGCTCTCAAGATTTCTTCTGACTTAAAGTTTGCATAAGTTAGTTCCAAATTATATTTAGATATTTGTGGACTGACATTTAGCTGTTTTAAAATACTGAGTTCTGCTTTTTCAAAGGAATCATGAGTCAACATTTTATAGGGATCCAACATAATTAGCCTATTTTCTTCATTTTCTGGATCTTCAATCACACGTTTTATGCCTGGGCGCTGCAGTGCTGCTCTTTTAAGGGATCGCATCAATTTATCAACTACTTCTTTCCTCACTTTAAGCACTGGAATGCTGACTGTCTTTTTAAAAGCTGTTCTATCGAGTTTTATCATGCCTCGAACATCAGAGGGTGGTGAAAACAATTCAGAGTCTCTCTCATTTGTTTCCATTTCTGGCATGGTTGAGAATATTCTTCTTTGACTCAATAAGAAAATATTAGGTGCTTTGCTAAGTCTCTGTGTCAGCGATGTCCAAGCTAGTGGAATCAATGATTCTAGTTCAGTTATACTACAGCTTTCTACTTTCAGAAGTCTTCTTGAGAATCGAAATGGCCTCCATAAGATCCTAAAAAGAAGTATTCATTTAGAAAATACCATAAACTACAAACTAACACGTTCACAGTTGTCTTTTGGTAATAAAAGTTAAAATTCTACTGTCTCAAATAACCTGCTAAATGCTGATGAATAAAACTCTTATTGGTGTGTGGGAAGTATACTATCTTTTCCAGGATAGGATGACTTTTATTACTACTAGATAATAAATTTGTACCTTCAGTCTGCCAGCTACCAGGACAGAGGGCTTGATGATCCATCAGCCGCCCTATACCCAATTTTCTATGAACTACATGTGGGATTGGAAGGCTGAAATCTGAGTTAAAGAGTCATCTCTAAACAAAATGAGTCTTATATATAACATTACCAATGGCAATATCTATTAGGATATTCTCATAGGTGTTTATTGCACCAGATGCTGTACCAAACTTTATATACATTATCAATCTTGGAAAGTGTGCAGTATAGCATCCTCATTTTGTAAATGAGTAAACTAAAGCTCAGAATAGGTTAAATCAACTAGTCTCCCTTCTGGTAAGTGGCTGAGCAAGGATTAAAACCCAGGTCTGACTGACTTCAGCGCTTTGTGAATATACTGCTACATTGTCTTCGATGCTTTATTGCCTCTTGACCTGCATTTAACTAGAGGCTTCTGTATTTTTGACGAGAGCTTTGTTGAGTACATATAACACTTTGTTGACTGTTATATGCACAGTATCAGTTATTCACTCTGTCTTCTAAAATACCAAAGAAGCAACTGTAAGGGGAAAGGGTGGCCTGGGTAAATTACTCAACGTGAGCCTCGGTTTTCTCACCTGTAAAATGTGGTTAAAGCCTCTAGCAAAAGGCTTTTGAAACAGATTCCTTACTACCCATTACCTCGGACCTAAGCTTAGCACCTGGACGGCGGGTGACTTCGCGACAGTTCCGTGCCCAGGGGGCCGAGGCGGACAGCAGCCCCGGGCAGATAGGTACCGACCCTCTGAACCATTGTGGCCACGCAACCACCACCTTACCCCGTCACCACCCCAACTACCGGCGTCGCTCCGCAGTTGGTTCGGTGACCAGACCCCTCACCTCATGCTCTGGCTCCGGTCAGAAGCATCTCGGGTAGCCGGGCCGGCCCCCCGATGACATCATCACAGCTTGCCGTGGGGAGGAGCGCGTCATCGGAGCACGTCGACCCTCTCCTTTCTCCCCGCCCCACCGAGGTACGGGAACCCGGAAGGGCCGCGCCCATAGCTCCGCCTCTGGAGCAACTAACGACGGAGCGCGGGGCAGGGGAGAGATTCGCAGATGGACCTGGTAGTCCGCAGTAGGGCAGCATGGAGGCGCCCCGGGGGAGCGTCTACGTTGAACAGGGCTGGTACGTCTCTGCCCAGCAGCCTGAAGAGGCGGAGACTGAAGAGTTGAGTCCGTTGCTAAGCAACGTAAGTGGGTTCCGTTGGCTTCCTGGCCCCGACGCCCTCTGGCTCCCCGCAAATGCCTGCTCTGTATGACCGAGGAAAGAAGGCAGACGGCGCGGGGACGGGGTGGGGGAAAGCTGAAACCTGCCCCTGGGGATGGGGCCCAAAGGCAGCAGCCGGGATTCAGATGAGGTCGGCGCAGTTATGGATGCGATGACATCCTAGCACGCCCTAGAAAGAAGAGCTGTAGTCCAGGTGCCGGACAAGGTGGAAGAGGGGCTGCACCGAGTGGAGGTGGGGACCTGTGACATGAGCTGCCCTCGGTTCTGTGACTCACTGCTGTTTGTTAGTGCCTCTGTCGCCTTATTTCCTCTACTGGTCTTGTGAGGTCTTTGCAAGAGTCACAAGATTATTCTTTTCTCGACTTAGTCATGGGGCGGGGGGGGGGGCGGTTATAAACATCTTAATAAAGAAATCCTTAGCCTTGGAGGAGTGGAGGTAGCCTGGTACTAAGTGCATAGCATGTCCCTGACCCTAAGGCCTGTGCAGTGGGCACTCCGCTTTTTAACTCGAGTCCTTAGTCTGTAACAGTGTCCGGGACTTTGGTCCTAGATGCCGTTTGGAGGAGGAGATTGTTTTTTGAGATATCCTCGCCAGAGCAACGTGTATTGCTTTTATTATATTGTCATTGCAAGGTATCCCTGATCATTCTTCCAGCTGGGTGGAATCAATTCACTAAGTGTATAGAGAATTTTGTCGTCCTAATAATTGGGGAGCAACAGTTGTCAACTGTAGTCCCAAGCTGACTCAGGGATTCTTCAGTAATCATGTGAGCTGAGGCCACATCCCTCCTCTGGGTCACTACCCCACTCCTCTCCTCTCCTATCTTCATCTCTTGGGATCACGAGGTTAGTCATGGCTCTTCCTGAAGCCTACCTGGCCTCTGTACTGGTGGCTGCATTCCAGGGAAATGATTCCTGGAGCTGCACTAGTGGGAGGTAGGAAGGAAAGGAAAGGAATCTAGTGTTGTTAAGCAACTAGTGTATCACATAAAGCTTGGTGGTTTGCAGATTTTTTTTTCCTATAACATCTTAGTGATATTTTTTTCATGAAATTTGAACTTCACCGTTCAAACACTTAACACTATTAAATTTGTGTGTTTACAGGAACTTCACAGACAGGGATCCTCAGGTGTTTCATTTGGTTTCTCAGTGTTTAATCTGATGAATGCCATCATGGGAAGTGGCATCCTTGGCTTAGCTTATCTTATGGCTAATACCGGTATCCTTGGATTTAGGTGAGTTTTTTCCATATTTTACCATCACTTTCCTTTTTTTCCCTTTTTGATAGTACATTGAGATGAAAAGAGAAGCTACTATTATACAATTTCTAGTTAAATTGTTTCTGGGGTTTGAGCATTTTTATTACTATTCTTGTTGCTAGCCTGTAACTCGGAGGGATAGTACTTGGTTTTTTGTCCAAAGTATGGCTAGGTTTTAAAATATGAATTTGATCCACACTTGTTAGTAACCTTAATAAGTGGTGTAATCATTGTGTCAACTTGGTCAAGGCAAATTAAGGTTTATCAGCCATACAGATTGCTTCTAAATAGCAATGTTGTGAGTGCAAGTAAACCACATAATCTTTTCATTCCCCTCCATCTCCTTGTCTCCTTCTGCTATCAAGGAGTCTTATTTCCCCTTCTCAGGCCAGCCCTGTGTTCTATGCCTGTTCTTTTTCATCTTTCAAGACTGACTTGTAGGCCACTTTTGCCCAAATAGAAGACAGTCCTGACTTTTTGTGCTCCCATAATACTTTGTATATTCATTCTGTTATTATATTGTTATAATGATTTGTCTGCAAATTAACCTACTCACTAAACTGAAATTCTTTAGAGCTGCATCTTATTCTTAGCATCTAATATTATGGCCAACAGAATGAATGAACAAAAAGTTAATTTTGTTCATTTTGTCGGTAGAAGCACACCTATTTTACTAGGAAATTTAAAATATATGGAGAGTCTCATTTAGGTTTATTTCCTGCTTTTAGTCAAATGTTTTTTCTTTCATCTGAGTCAGCATTGATTCACTAGTCCAAATTTTTGTTAAGCAAACCAACTTTTAAGTAACCCAACTTGCTTTTATTATGGAAAGTATTCACAAGCTTTCATTATTTTTAAGACTTAAGAACTATATGTAACAGATACCTTTAAGCAAGACATAGTCAGAGAACTTATTTTTTGCTCTTCTTTGAAAAATCGTGTATCGTACATTGGAGTCTTACATGCAGATGTGTACTTACATGCAGATGTCTGTTTACTGAACCTTATCAACTGTCCTTTTTGGTGATGCTAATTGTTACTTTGTGAGGTCTCTGATGTCAGTTTAATGGCATATGCCCTCTTACCTGTCCGTTTTGCTACTTATAAACAAGTGTGAGCTGAAGAACGAAGAGAATTTCCTCAACTATTGAGGCAATACACTGGGGGCAGTTCTATAGCTAGAAGTCCATCCTGCCAGTGTTTTCCTGAGAATAAGTACAGAATTATGCATGTTGTGTTTTTTTCACACCGTTGGTGAAAGAACCCCAATCATTACATTGTTTGCACATTTTTCAAATTGTATCATTAACTGTATTGTTTTGGTTTGTAGCATATGTGTGTTTAATAGATGCTAGGAAGTACAGTTTTAATAAATCTTAAATACACCTTAATAAGGTGAAAGTTTGGTAAGGGGGTTCCTATTACTAGAAAGGAAGGGAGAGAGACACGGGAAAAGGAGAAGACAGTGAGATTATATAATCAAAACTGCAACTTAGACTTAAAATGGGGGGAAAAAAGTCCTAAAAGGGAAATATCACGAGATCATTGAGTAACTGAACCAGCAGTCAGCAGACAAGAATGCAAAGTGAAGAAATTTGCTTGTATTTGAAGTAAATTTTGTTTGTTTTTTACTTTTAAATTGGTATATTTTCATTTAAATAAAATTTGGAAAATATTTTTGAAGTATAAAAGTATCTTAATTTCTTTAATGACCATAATTTAACTACTCAGGGGCAGTCCCTGTGAACATTTGACTGTGAAGGCATTTGTTTTTGTAATGAGATATCATAAAAAAGAGAAACTTTTTGGGGAGGTTTAACCATGTATTCTTTTATGTTTTAGTTTCTTGCTGGTGATAGTTGCTCTCCTGGCTTCTTACTCAGTCCATCTTCTACTTAGTATGTGTATTCAGACAGGTGAGTAAAAAGATGGTGTTTCATTTTACGAAGCAGTTCCTCAAGTTTGTATCTACATGAAGGATACAAGTCTGATTTCCAGTGGGCATACATTTTTATTAGGTAGGGTGATTGAAATGGGGAATTTTAAAAAGCCAGAATATATATACCCAATCCTATGTGGGAATATCCAAGGACAGATGGGAGGAGGAAATTAACACTCTTAACCTGCTTGCCTCCACAACACACAATAATTTTCTGGGTTAGAGTAGATTAGGGGAGCACCTAAAAGGTGTTTGAAGGATCCAAACCTTATGCTTATGGGAAGAGGTAGACAGGTGTTCATTCTGGTCATAATTCTCCTGGTGTGAAGATTTCCTCAAGAACCTCTTCCCAGGTTCCTTCTGCAAGACAGAAGTAGGGATAGCAGAACTATGATTATTTGAGGCAACGTCTCAAAGCTTTGGCTATTTTTAGGCACATGATGTATTGTTATTTGCAAGTCTAGAATAGGATACAGTTATACAATATATATGTGTTTTTCCCATTTGGAATTTTATTATACACTTTTGTCATGTAGTGAATAAGTTCCATGTAGTGAATAAGTTCTTTTAGATTGCAGTAAATAAAAGTATATGAATTATAGAATTGCTTTCACAAGATTTTTCTTTGTCATTAACAAGTATTCTATATCCTTTAATCCCAGTCTTTTTATCTGTAGTCTCTTTTATCTTTGGAGTAGGTCAATTTTTTATGCCAGAATCATGGGTTTAATTCTTATTTGCTTTATCTAGTCTTGTAGTTTTAGACTTTAAGAAGCAGAATAGAGCCAGACACAATGGCTCAAGTCTGTAATCCCAGCACTTTGGGAGGCAGAGGTGAGAGGATTTCCCAAGCTCACAGGTTCGAGACCAGCCTGGGCAACATGTTGAGCCCTCATCACTACAATAAATCAAAAAATTAGCCAGGCATGGTAGCACGCATCTGTAGTTCTGGCTACTTGGAAGGCTGAGGTGGAAGGATTACCAGAGTCCAGCAGGTCGACACTGGGGTGGCCGTGAGTGTGTCACTGCACTCCAGCCTGGACAACAGAGTAAGACTCCAACTCAAAAAAAACTTTAAAAAGCAGAATAGATACACAAAACAGATAAAATGGCTGTCTTGGTCCACTTAGTATTGCATAAAATAATACCTGAGGCTGAGTAATTTATAAAGAAAATAGGTTTCTTTGGCTCATAGTTCTGCAGACTGTGCAAGAAATATGGTACTTCTTATAAGGGGCCTGTCTGCTTCATCTGCTTCTGGTAAGAGGTTCAGGCTGATTTCACTCATAATGGAAGGTGAGAGGAATCTGGGGTGTGCAGAGATCACATGGTAAGAGAGGACACAAGAGAGAGAGGAGAGATGTGCCAGGCTTTTTAAACAACCAGCTCTTGCGAAAACTTATAAGAGAGCTCACTCACTACCACAAGGGTGGCATCAAATCATTCATGAGGCATCCACTCCAGTGACCCAAATACTTCCCATTAGGCCCCACCTCCAGCATTGGGGATCACAGTTTCAACATGAGATTTGGAGGGATCAACATCCACACCATAGCAGTGGGATGATTCTGGGCTGATAACGATGAGAGAAGCCCAAGGTATTTCTTGAGGATTTTAAGCCTCTTTAGAACAGTTCTAAAACCACTGCTCTAATCAGTTTTCCTGAAACCTGTCTGTGCATCAGAAATACCTGTATATCTTTTTATACCCACAGATTTCTAAGCCTCAGGGATTTTAACTCCAGAAGTCTAAGGTGGGATTCAAGAATGCTAAAAAAAACAAAGTCCTCCAGGTCATTCTTACACAAACTAGCTTAGGATCCACAGTTCATAGCTATGACTTGCACCAGTCCTTTGGCCATACAGAGGTAGTGCATACCTCTGTTCTCAAGGGGCTTAGTTGAACATGTAGATGGTAAAAATACTAGGAAACAATGCAAATATTAATCCCAAAGTAACAAATTGTAAGAGCATCCTGAATCCAGGAATAATAGCTTTAGGTAAATATATTTGTAAATCCTGCTGAAACTTGGCTAGAGTTTTAATTATATATTTTGAAATTTTGCTTTTTTTGTGTGAAAAATTATTTTTACTTGTGATAATTTCACATCTTAATAGATTATTTTAATAAATTCTATTATAAGATTAATACTTTAGTCAACTATGTGACAATTATGTCTTCTAAACTTCAGTTTAAAACTTTATTTTAGTTTTAATTGAAGTAAAATGTTTTGTTCAATTATTTGGGAGAAGTATTCAATTTATGGAAATTTCTAAGTAATGTTAATTTTTTTCCTCTATAATATATATATTTAACTTAAGATTCTGGCACTGTCTTTCATTCTTTTCTGTAATGCCAGGGCATATAAAGTGAAAACATCTGTTTTCCTTTCTTTTTTCTTTTCCTTTGATTTTTATAGCTTACTTGGGTCTTGAACTAACATCTTCGCGGTTCTTCATACACAGTGATGCACCTGTCTTCCATTGATTGAATTTCTTCAGTCGTAAAATTCTCTGTAGAGGTAGGCTTTTCTCTTTTTTTCAGTACACACCTTCGTATATAAACACTAGAGAATAGTCGGGCTTGGTGGCTCAGCCTGTAATCCTGCACCTTTGGGAGGCTGAGGTGAGTGGATTGCCTGAGCCCACGGGTTCAAGACTTGCCTGGGCAGCGAGACCTCATCTCTACAATAAATAAAAAAATCAGCTGGGCATGGTAGCGCATGCCTGTAATTC